GGATAATAAAACAATCTCTCTATAATAATCACATTGGTTTCAACTGTTGATCACCAATCTAATAAAAGCTTCTTTCTGCTTATCGCAAAACAAAAATTAATGTCTTTTTAAAAGGAACCTGATGTTTCAAAGATGATCCTAAAGTCTGTTCTATATCTGCCATGAGTTGACATCTTTGTCTAGCATTAACCTAGTCTTAATTCTTTCCAATGACCAAACATATATGATAACATACTTGTCTAGTTTTAAAATCCAACTGAGTGATTCCCACCCAGTTTTTTCTGTAGTAATTTTCATGCTCTTATTAGGTCACTGAAACCTAATCTATGCCTCTGCTCCAAAGATAAAAAAGTAGAATCAATGCAAAGATTATTCTCAACAGTCTAGAAGAACCCAGGCAGTATCCAAATACTGTCTATCTCCTGTTTTAACACCTAAAATGTGACTCAGTTTCTATCTGAAAAAAGGACATCCCAGTGTGAACGGGAGCACTGAGAGAACAGGAAAGCAGAGTGAGCAGGCATTTGCACAATTCCCTCACGCGGAGAACTCATGCCAACTTTCAGGTAGGGACAGTCAGTGCGAGAAAGGCAAGCTGGGGGTGTTGGAATGGCTGGAAATTTATGGAGAGAGACTGCAGGGAAACATGAGGGGGGTGAGGCAAACAGCAGCCCAAACTTCCCTCTCTAGAGCTCTTAAAAAGAAAGCGACTCAACATTCTGACTAAGGAAGCCAACAGGAAAAGACACTCATCTTGAAACTGTTCCAGGCACAAGTGGCCCACTGGTAGAAGGACAAAACGACATGATATTTATGTGAACAGTTGGTGTAAATAACTTTAATGTGGTTTTGAAATGTAACCAACAACAAAATCAGAATCCATGAACTTAAGAGTAATAAATACGAGATGTATTATTTCCACTTTTTTTTACAAGGCCTGTATCTATCTCTGGTAAATGCAACTGAGTAAACTGGATAACTGAAAATAAAGCAGCAGAAATTACAGGTATATTCCTCATTCTTGGAAGAGTTAGTTCATCTTAAAATGTTGTGATTTTAATAGTCCTACAATTTCTCAGGTATGGTCAACACATTTTTGCTTTTTGTTGTTTTTTTTTTGTTTTTAGCTATATGGGATAATTCAGGCTCCAAGTTACTACATTCCAATAGTTTAGTGATTGTACCTTTGCTACAATCCTGAACCCTGTACCCTGCAATCAACAAACCGGTCAATAAGGCCAAGGGCCACCTCATAAGAAGTGTTCTAGCGCCACCTACTGGCGTGTGTTTCCTGTCAAAGGGGGAATAATGAATTAGACCAGTATTCTGCAAGTGTGGACCCTGGACCAGCAGCAGCATCAGTATCACCTGGAAACTGGTTAGACATGAAAATTTCAAGGTTTTCCCAGACCTACTGAAATTCTAGTGGTCAGGACCAGTGATCTGTGTTTTAACAAGCCCCCCACATAATTCTAATGCACACTCAAAGTTTAAGAACCAATGGATTAATCAGTCCTTAACACAAAAATTAAGCACAAAGTCTTAAAATAAAATCAGGTTAAAAAATTAATAAAAGTGCTCAATTTCATGCCCTGGCCAGTTTGGCTCAGTGGTGGGGAAGCCTGTGGACCAGAGAGTCCCGGGGTTCGGTTCCCGCTAGGGGCACGTACCACCAAAACAAAAAACCAAAAAAAAACAAAAAACAAAAAACCACCTCAATTTCTAATTTTGGAAAGCAACTATTTCCCCCTAAATTCTGGGTCTAAATATCTGTACTTAGAGAACCGTCTTAAAAGACACTTATTAACACATTTATATACCTTCAATACCCAATGAACATCAAATGAGTCTCAGCCTCTGAAATATCAGATGATTTCCCTGTGGTCTTTGTCCTGAGCACACCCAGCTCAAAGGGAAGACTAGACATATTGACAAAACAAAATATGACAGATGTAAATGCAAAAAGCCCTGTAAAGCAAAGAAAAGGCCTAACTGGTATCAGGACATCAAGAATGGCATGTTACTGTACCCTGAGGGAGGGGAGCTCACCTTAAAACACATGAAAAGCCAAGAAGGTAGAATATTGGTGGTTTTTTTAATACCAAGTCATCTACCCTAATAATCGATACCACCCAAAAGTCCATTGTATGTGCAACTATATTATGAAATAATTAAAGAAAAGCAGGTCTGATGAAGCCTTATTTTCTATTTAGGTCTTAGAGGAGAACTTGCCCAGAAGTGTCAGAAGTATGAGCAGTAGAGGAGAAATAGCAGAGTTTTTTCTTATACCTGGGAAACATGGTGACATCAGCAAAATACTCAGCTTTCCTGGAAAGCTAGGTTTTTTACATTCTGCAGGCAATGCCCATATACTTTCAGCACTATAGATTCCATAACTAAGAATATATTTTCACTTGCCTAGATTTATTTAAGTTATGATATTTTGCTTTTATGACTGGCTCCAGTTATAAAAGCTATACAAGAAATGCAAACATTGCCTCCTTATTGTTACTGTTATTTTTATTGTCACTGTGACCACCACCACCACTATAATCACCTACTGTTAGAACCAAATGAGATACCACATGTAAAAATGCACAGTGCCTACCCACATTGGAAGTGTATAACAAATTCTGCTTTGGTTATCTTTACCGTTATGACCATTTTCATCACCATACCCTGCTGCACTTTGGCAAACATCGGATTTCTTGCCTGACCATAATAACTAAAGTCTTTCTGCCCTGAGGCTCCACAAAGCTATAGGAAGAAAAGCAATATAGAGAGAAAAATCAAGAAGCCTCTAACAAGGTTTTTTAATCAACTTGACCCTTGAGCAATTTAAAATGTAAACTCTTCTTCTAAATGTTCCTCATGAATATTTAGCAAGAATCTGATAAAAAATTCCAATCCTCCTGCATATACATCTTCAACAGAAGAACATTAAGCAGCCCTGGCTGGTCTGGCTCCGCAGTTAGAGTGTGACCCCTAAGACCAAGGGTCTTGGGTTCAATTCCTGATCAAGGGCACATACCTGGGTTTGCAGGTTCAATCCCCCAGCCCCGGTCAGGGTCTGGCGGGAGGCAACCAATCGATGTAGCTCTCTCACATTGATGTTCGTCTCTCTCCTTCCCTGTTTCCCTTCTACTCTATCTAAAAATTAATAGAAAAATATTCTCATATACAGATGGACAAAATAAAAAAAGAGCATTAAGCAAACCATTCATGGACAGGCCCTGGCAGAGAGGCACAAACAGAAAGGACACAACCCTGAGGGACATTAACATTTTAAGGATGGGCCACTCCTCAAATGCAAACTAAACTTAAAGGGTTTACAAAAATGCTTAAAGATGATGTTAATATTAACAATTCTGGTAAATTAGGTGAGTGCATTCTGGTTAAGAAAGCAGGATGCCAGCACCTTTCCCTTCTCCCACAGGGGTGCATCTCCTCATCTCCACGGGACCCCAGGAGACTTGCAAGCAGGGGAGCAATGGGCAGCGGCAGCTCGCCCTGGGCTAACCCTCTGATCCTGTCTCCAGAGCCCTTTTTCTCTGACTTTCCAGTGAGCTGACAGCAGCCCCCACTTGGCTCACTTCTTCCCCATAACCTTTCTAAGGAGAAAGGCAGCCCCATCTAGGCTCTCCTGTTGCTTCTTCCAGCCTATGCCCTTCCTTGTTTCACTGTCCCCAGCTTTAATAAATGTACTATTAGCCCTGGCCGGTTTGGTTCAGTGGTTAGAGCATCGGCCTGTGGTCCAGAGAGACCCAGATTTGGTTCCCACTAAGGGCACGTACTTCGGTTGCAGTTTGTCCCCGGCCCCGGTTGGGAATGTGTGGGTAGCAGCCAGCCAATGTGTCTCTCTCAAATCTATGTCTCTTTCTCTCTCTCTCTCTCTCTCTCTCTCTCTCTCTTTCCATTCTATCTAAAAAGCAATGGGAAAATATCCTCGGGTGAGGATTAAAAAAAAAGAAAAATAAGATTCCATTTCTTTTTTTCTTATGTCTTCTACAACTGAAAAATCCACCAGTTGTAAAATTAAGTGAAATTAAAAATTCACTGAATACACTTAACAGCAGCAAATTAGACAATGCAGAAAGAAAACAGGGGTAGTGAACTTGAAGACATAGCAACAGAAACTATTCAACTTAAAGTCAGACAGAAAAATGACTGGGGAAAAAAATCTCAGTGACTTATGAGACATAATCAAGCAGTGTAATAAAAATGTAATTAGAGTCCCAGAATGAGCAGGGGGAGGAAGAAACAGAAAAAGTATTTGAAGAAATAGTAGCAGAAATTTTCCCAAATTTCATCAGAACTGGAAACCCACAAATCCATAAAGCTCAAAGAACACCAGACAGAATCAAGAAAATCACAGCAAGGCACATCACAATAAAATTACAAAAACCAATGATATTTAAAAGAAAACAAAAAGATAATGTTGCTCCCCTCACTCCATATATAAGATAAAAACAACTCTAATCCAAAGAAAGCAAATAACATCTTTCTAGACATTCTGATGCAAACATTTTGGTGAAGTTCATCAAAGCTGAACCTGTCTCCTTTGTAGAGGCCTTCTTTTGGCAGTAGTACCGCTAGCATAAGCTTAGTCTGTCCATAAGGTGATCAGTATGAACAAAACATAGTTAAATTACTGGAAAACAAATTTACCAAATGCATTTCTACACTGTAAAATTTACAAACGCTACATACTTTTGATTGTATGTTCCTTGAGGTCAGTAACCTTCATGTTTTAGCCCATAATGCAGTTTCTAGTGGTACATAACTGCTTGAACACACATGAATTAGTCAATCTCATTTCATGCTTAGTACATCAATATATGTGTAAAACAAGATGAAAAAACAGATGCCCAAAGGGATTAAATGATTGTCCCAAGGATACACACAAGGTAAGAAGTATCTTGCATCCCTAGAGTAATGCCTCCATACAAGTTATCCCAAAGTAGACACAAAAGAAATACATTTTAATTATTACTACTTACTCTGAGTTTCCACAAGATCCAAAGCAACACTAGAAGCTGTGTCCATTCCAGTGCTGATACAGTTCTGGAAGTTTTTTAAGGAGGAGAGAGCAGATTCTACACCACTGAAGGATATAAAACCAGTTGAACCTGAATTTGAACTGGAACGCCCAGGCATCTTGAATTATTACCTAAGTTTTCAAACACATTGAAACAAAATTTATGAGTCAGAATAACTGCATAGGAAAATAAAACTTCTGCAAACATCCATATGAATGTATCCAATATCCCACAAGGGTCACACTATTATGCATTCTATATCCCTTGAGAGGATAGTAACGCATTGTGCCATTATCTGGGCTATCAAACACAGATGCACTCAGGATATGGGAAGGTAACTCCACTTTTTTTTTTTTAATCCTCACCTGAGGACACGTTTTTCATTGATTTTAGAGAGAGGGAGAGGGAGGGAGAAAAACATCAATCGGTTGCCTCCCACATGCACCCCGACCAGGGATCAAATTGCAACCTGGGTATGTGCCCTGATAGGGAAACGAATCTGTGACCCTTCAGTGCACAAGACAATGCTTCAACCAACTAAACCACACTGGCCAGGGCTGTCCTCACTTTTTAAAGGAATCTTCCAAAAGATTTCTTGATTCTCTGAAGAACTAAATAAAAGCACAGTTCTTAAAATATAAATGGGTTAGAAATAGTAGGCTACTCATTTGATGCATTTTTCTAAAAATTAAATAGTTTGAAAATCTGTAATTTCTAACTTATCTGACATATATGCATATTGAATTCTGAAAACTCAAAAATATATATTCCTGAAACCTCCTCTAAGTTCTAGCCGATATATGTAGATTTGGTGAGATCACAGATTCTGTTTCAGTAAAAGCGAATTTTCTCTATAAACTATCTTTTGACAGTTCATTCACTATAACAGTTTCAGTTGTTACCTTCATGTTAAGTGCTCCCTAATCTATATCTTTTGCCACCAATTCTTTAAGTTTTGGACCACTTACATAAAGCTGCCCACAAAAGACATCTTTGCTTAATTCCAAAACCACCTGAAATTCAATCTACTGAAACCAACTAGAGAGAAAATTCACACAGGCTTGGAGGGCTGGGAAGGCTGAACGGTAGCAGAACAAAGGCATCTGCTTATATCACATAGATATGGCATGAGTCCTGGCTCTGCTACTTTACTACTAAGTGACCAGGGCAGACTGCTTAAACCTCTCTGAACCTAGCCTTCACTATCTTTAAAATAGGAAAGAATATCACAGTGTGGTCTAGCACACAGCAAACTACTAATTGGCACTAGGACTTGCCCTACTACCCTTCCCTCTTTTCCTGGGGAACTGCCTAGTATCTATGCTATTTCCATCTCCACTGCCACCACCTTTATCTCACATGTGACTACAGTAGTTTTTAAGTTATTGGTCCCTTTAACTGGTTCATTTTTTCATTCATTCAACAAATAGGTATTTAGTGCCTTACTGTGTCAATCATTTTTAAAAAGACACATTAAAAGATTCACTTTAAAAAAAGACACAAAGGGTATACAAAGGAAAGGGCACAGAGAAGATCCTAAGATACTGATTTCTATTTCTATTTTTGAAGTGTTTGTCTACTACAGACAAACATCCACAATACAACTTACTAATTCAAATCACTCAATTAACAAATATTTAGTATGTCTTGGAGCATAGTGTAGAGCAGTGGTTCTCAACCCTCCTAATGCCATGACTCTTTAATACAGTTCCTCATGTTGTGGTAACCCCCAACCATAAAATTATTTTCGTTGCTACCTCATAACTGTAATTTTGCTACTGTTATGAATCGCCATCGGAAATATGTGTTTTCCGATGGTCTTAGGCGACCTCTGTGAATCAACCTTCAAAGAGGTCGCGACCCACAGGTTGAGAACCGCTGGTGTAAAGGGTTGTCAACCCAGAGGAAAAAAGATAGCTACCAAGAAGAGCTCCTGGTGGCTAACTGGGGTTAGATTTAAAAACAGCCGACAGCCATTTCCAAACAGGGTCTTCTCATGCTTCAAGAAGCCTGCACTAAGCTGCCTGCCCCCTGCACTGAACTCCTGCCACATGAACCAGCCCTTATAAAGGAGCTCCTAGAACTGTCTCAACCAACAGGATTGAGACTTTCCCTGTCTAACTGGAGCCAGGCAGCTATATTCTCATTAGCACCTTCACCAACCAATCAGAGTAGCTCTCCATTCTGATCAATGATGGCAGTGCTTTTTGGACAAATCAAACTGTAAGAATTTAGAGTCCTCATCTGCATGAGAATGAACCAATCTGGGCCCAGGGGTAGGGATTTCTCCCTATGTAAATCAGCTCCTCCCTGGTTGGGAGAGCACACTTTCCCTTTCCATTGAAGACAACAGACTGCTTTCCTGAGCTGGAACCAAAATACCAATGCATCTTGCTGGAGCAGACCTGAGCAGAGCAGATGGAGTGGAGCAGGACAGAGTGGAACAGACTGAACCAGAGCAGAACAGAGCTATCTAGCTAGAGAGGGCCTCACCCCAGGGCTGCCTCCCAGCCATGCTGTTCCCCAGCCATGCTATTTCATAACTGAGCTACAACGCTATGAGCTGCTTCACGGCCATGCTCTTCTCACAGCTGTGCTGCATCACAATTGAGCTGTTTGCACGAATCAAGTTTCCTTCTTCACTGCACCTCAAGTTGGGGATCCCTGTCGGCACTGAACTGGTGCCAAAAACCATCAATGGACAGAGTCTTAAGCGCAGGATAAAGAATCAATCCAGCTGAGTCTAGGGTGGTTAAATAGGACTTTTAGATTTATCTATTTTTTTAAATTTATCCTAAAAATCAAGAACTGAAGCAAATAGAGCAAAATGTTAGAGATGTTAAAATCCAAATGATGGAACAAGGTTCTTGTTGCATTTTTCTGGAACTTTCTGAGATGTTAATATTTTACACCTAAAGAGAGAAAATAGACAGACTATAAATATCCAATGATGATTTCTGCATATTTGCATTTTGGTAAAAGACAGTGTTATTTACAATCTCACTTTATTACAACAAACAAGTTGAGACAGTTTATACAATATAAATACAAACACATACAATAAAATGGGAAAATATAAATTCATAAATATTAGAATCACAAAACAGATTCAAGGGAAAACCATGTACATGAAAAAATTAGAATACAATCATGCACACTTTAGGATTCTTTAGGATTCTGCGCAGTATTATATTTGTAATACAGGGGATAAAGCCACAGCATCTTGACAATCAATCATACCAAGGGGTAATAGATATATGAAAAGATGTTCAACTTCACTAGCTATTAGAGAAATGCAAATCAAAACTACAATTAGATACCTGTTACAATGGCTATTATCAACAAGACAAGAAATAGTAAGTATCAGAGAGGTGTGGTGAAAAGGATCCCTCATTCACCACTGCTGAGAATATACACTGATATAACCACTGTGGAAAACAAAAAATTCAGAATAGAGTTACCATATGATCCAGAAAGTATTTATTCATAAAGACATATGTACCCCTATTGCAGAATTATTCACAGTGGCCAAGGCATGGAAACAGCCAAAGTGTCCCTCAATATATGATTGGATAGATGTGGTACATACATAAAACAGAATACTACACAGCCATAAGAAAAGATGAAATACTGCCATTTACAACAACATGGAAGCAACTTGTGAACATCATGTTAAGCAAAGTAAAACAGAAAAAGTCAAGAACCATATGATTTCATTCATATGTGATATATAAAACTGAAAGCAATAAATGAAATAAGACAAACAAAAATACAGACATAGACAACAGTGTGGTGGATACCAGCAAGAAATGGGGGTGGGGGGGTAGAAGAGGGTAAAGTGGGTCAAATAAATTATGACAGAAGATGACTTTGAGTGGTGAACACACAATGTAATATATAGATGATGTATTACAGAACTGTACACCTAAAACCTATATGAATTTATTAACCATGTCTCTCCAATAAATTTAATATTTTTAAGTTCAAGTTTCAGGATTCTTTTTCCCCATAAAGAAAAAGTACAACAGTAATTCATGGAAAATAAATCTATCCATAGCAATCAAGGCATCATGGTTCATCATACATGAGATAATAAGAGTCATACTAAAAATATCCTGATACCAGCTTGGTGCCCACCAAACCCATTTCCTCTTCAACTTGGTCATACAGCTTGACCACCATTTGCAGCCTTCCTTGCAGTTAGGCGTCATCTTATGACTGAATTCAAGACAACGATATATGAGCCATTTCCAGGCCCAGTCCATAAAACCACGCTTTTTCCATACCCCTTCCACTGTGACAGCTTGAAACAGGCAAGCAGCGACCTTAGAAGCTATGGAGAATCACTAGTCAGATTCTGGGGTTTACTCAGAAAATACAAACCTGCAGGGAGCAAATGATATGGTACAAGTACCCAGTTTTCCTAGTCAGTGTTGATTCTTGTGTAAGTCTAAATTATCTAGAGCAGCTCTGTCAAAGAACTTCTAGCCATGACAAAAATATTCTAGAATCTACACTGTCCAATATGGTAGTCACTAGGCACATGGGCTATTCATTACCTGAACTGTGGTTAGTGTGACTGAGGAACTGAGTTTTTAATTGTGTTTAATTTTAATCAATTTAACTTTAAACAGTCACGTGTCTAGTGGCTACTGCCTTAGACAGCACGGTTCTAGAGACATAATTATCAAAGCGTAGTGTATTTACGAACCAGGGGATAAAGCCACAGTATAAGCAGGGCATAGCTTCCTGGAATATCAATTTTACTTACAGATAACATGAAATATGTTTACATTAAAATAAACATCAGGCCCTGGCCAGTTTGGCTCAGCAGTTGAGCGTTGGCCTGTGGACCAGAGAGTCCCGGGTTCAGTTCCCGCTAGGGGCACATACCACCAAAAAAATAAAAATAACAAATAAACATCAGCTGCACTTTGGAGTAGACTATGGAGGCAATACAGAGTCAGGAGCTAGACTACTAGAGTTCAAAGCCTGATTTTGCTACTTAAGTAGCTGAATGACTTTAGGCAAATTATTTAACCTCTCAATGCTTCACTTTTCCTTTCTGTAAAATAGGGATGATCCAGTGCCTACTACCTCAAGGATAGTACTGCAAAGACTGAATGAGTTTATACACACACACACACACTATAATAAAATACTCAGAATAATTACCAGCACATAAATCTTTTAAAACGGGAACAACTTTTAAAACCATCAACTTCATCATAATACCGAGGGACAATACAACACAGAGGTCTGGAAATTACATCCGGTCCATGCCACTTAAAACTGCACAGCCCTAATTAAGTTGCTTATCTTCTCTACCTGCAGTTTGCTCCTATGTAAAAAACAGATAATTACATCTATCTCATAGCCTTATTAAGGATATATTAAATTTTGTAGTTTTCTCAGACTTCTCTGATCTTAAGAATCAGCTCAAATATTAAAATTACATATTTATGGATACCATCTCAGACCCACTGATTCAGAGTCTCTGGTGGGTACACTGAGAAAACTAAATGTTTATGAGGCCCCCCAGATGATTCTTAGGATCAAGTAAGTGTGGAGAACACTGAGGTAATTGTGTCTCCCCCAAATCCATATGTTGAGGCCCTAACACTCAATGTGATGATATTTGGAGATGAGGCCTTTGGGAGATAATCAGGTTTAGATGTGGTCATGAGTGTAGAACCCTCATGATAAGACTAGTGTCCTCAATAGAAAAGGAAGAAACACTAGGGTGCATTCTCCTTCTTTCTCTCTCCTTCTTCTTCTCCCCCTATGTAAGTACACAGCAAGAAGAGGAAAGGGAGCCAGATGCAAGCCAGAAAGAGAGCCCTCGCCCAGCTGGTGTGGCTCAGTTGTTGAGCTTCGACCCATATACCAAGAGGTCACTCGTTCAATTCCCGGACAGGACACATGCCCAGGTTGTGGGCCAAATCCCCAGTGGGGGCATGCAGGAGGTGGCCAGTCGATGTTCTCTCTCATCGATGTTTCTATCGCTCCCTCTAAAATCAATAAACAAAAAAATTATTTAAAAAAAGAGAGTCCTCACTAATATCCAACCATGCCAGCACCTTGTCTCCAAAAACTGTGAGAAGTAATTTTCTGTTGTTTAAACCACCAGTCTATGGTATTTTTTTAAAAAAACAACAGCCTGAGCTGAGTAAGACACAATGTATCTAAGGATTAATACAATTCAGGATAAATAGAAAAGTGTCTACCACCTAGAAGATATCCTTTTATGTGAATGAAAAATTCACATTACTCCAATAAAACTTTACACATGCAGAGAGCTAGGGAAAACTTTCTTCTGTAATTCTGAAATATTTCAAAGGAAAATAATCAGATTGGGAAGCAAAGAGAGTAGATGGCGCAGAAAAGTGGAACAGACACACTTTTCCCTATTCCTCCCATGAAGTACAGCTAAGTATGTAAGTCACAGCAAAGCTCCCAAAACAAAGGATTATCTGGCCTGTGTCTACAGTGCAATTGGAGAAACCCTGGTTTAAATCAAGCTCCTCTTGGAGCCTTCCACAGGAAAAACAATCTTTTTGTTTCCTGTACCTATGGTCTCCAAGAACATTTAAAATAAGTTTACACATTTCCTGAGTTTTTCCCCAGCATGTTATTTTGCCTCCCCTAATAGGCTAGTTGGGCTGCTACAACCAAACAGCGGACTGGATAGCTTATCAAGAACAGAGATTTATTTCTCATAGTTCTGGAAACTAGATAGTTCAAGATCAAGGTGCTGGCATGGTCAAGTTCTGGTGAAGGCCCTCTTCCTGGTTCAAAGCTCATGCCTTCTAGCTCTTTATAACCATAGAAGGAACAAGGGAAGTCTCTGGAGCCTCTTTTATAAAAGCATTAAGCTCATCCATGAGCTCCACCCTCCTGACCTAAGCACCTCCCAAAGGCCTCACCTAGTAACATCACACTGGCATTATGGCATTAGGATTTCAACATGTGAATGAGGGAGGGAACACAAACATTCAGACCCCAGCAGGTCTATAAGATCCTCTGTAGGGCCCTGGCCAGTTTGGCTCAGCGGTTAGAGTAGTTAGACCAAAGAGCTGCTGGTTAGATTCCTGTCAAAGGCATGTACCTTGGTCGCAATTGCGCTTTGGTCCTCCGCCCTGGTAGGGATTCTGTGGGAGGCAACCAATCGATGTGTCTCTCTCACATAGATGTTTCTCTCTCTCTCCCTCTCACTCTGTCTGAAGACACATGTGAAAATATCCTCGGGTGAGGATTTAAAAAAAACAAAAACGATTCTCTGTAGGCAGGATCCATTTTTGGCTAATGTAAAAACACTTCTTGTCCTGGCCAGGTGGCTCCATTGGTTGGAATGTCCTCCCTGGAATGCCTTTCGATTCCAGGTCAGGGCATATACCTAGGTTTTTGGTTTGATCTCTGTTGGGGCATGTAGGGGAGGCAACTAATAGATGTTTTTCTCTACCAAAAAAAAAAAAAAAAGCAATAAAAACATATCCACTGGTGAGGATTTAAAAAAACGAAAAGTTTCTCTACTCTTCCCTCCTTTCGTCTTTCTGTACAGCTCAGTGGTGGGCACAGAAAAAAAAATTATACACAGTGTGCTGACCTTTAAATCCAGGGGGGCCTGTGCAAGTTTAATCAGAGCTATACCTCAAGGTGCAAGGATGCACCTTTCTCTTTGAAGCCTAACCACACAAGCACCTGCTTGTCCCCTCCCTTCCTCTCTCACACACACACACACTCTCCCTCAGTAAAACTCATCACAACTATCTGCTCACACGTCCTCCACTCCTTCCCTCTGGGATATCTACAGCCTATATAACAGCTCCCACAAAACAGGCGATCAATAAAGACCTGGAGACAGTTCCGGCAGCAACCCCGGTTCTAGGTTCCCGGTCGTGTGCCAAAAACGGTCCCGGCGCTTCATCCCCACCACCTCTCACGCTCACAAACACCCACCCGCGGGAAAAGGAACCCGGGGCCCAGGGGCGTTCACCCAACGCCCTGCCCCCGCCTGGTTTAAGGGCAGTTCCAACAGGCAGGCACGTCTGGGTCCAGAGCGCGCGAACTCTTCCCCACGCACTCGGGGCTGAAGGCGGAGGCGGGTCTCGGAGGAGGAGGTCAACTGCCGCAGCCGCACTGCCGGGAGGTGCAAAGAGCCAGGACCAGCCCAAGTCGACAGACCCCAGCTCCGGAGACCCGCGGAGTGCCCGACAGGGGGCGACACCTCCCGCCGCCCTCCCCGCCGCCGCACCCCGCGTCCACCTCACCTGCCGCCCCGCCCAGCTCTGTCCGACTGTGCCCCGACTTCCTACAGCGGGACCCCAACTTCTTCCTTAACCGAGCGCGGGCTCGAACGTCATCAGCCGTCGCCCGCCAGTGGTCACATGACGCCCCGCCCCCTTGGTCACGTGACCGCCAGGGCGCCAGGGGCGGAAGCCGGGGTCGCCAGCGCTGGCTCCTGGACTGAGGGTAGCGAGGACGCCTGCGCAGAGGCCGGGTGGGACCCGGTGCGGGCTCGCGCGGTCGGCGCCCCGCTCTGCGCCCTGGCGCGGCCCAGGCGACAGGTACGTCGGGCGGGATGCACCGCCCCTCCTTTGCGTCCCCTCCTTTGCATCCCCCTTCCCCCCCCGGGCCGCACTGGCGCAGGGGACATCTGTGGCGTGAGGTGGGTCTGGATGGGGGAGCCTGGCGTGGGGCTGCAGTCCAGGCCCTTCATCTCCACCTGGAAGTCGTGTTCCACGCCGCTTGGGCGCTTTAGACATTGATGTTCAGCTGCTGGTCCCGCATCTGAACCTTCCAAGTTTCCGGGAGCGGTGCCGTGTGGACGTCGTTATCCCTCCGTGTACTGCGGAGAAAACTGAGAGCTTAGTGGGCGTTTTTACAGCCCGACGGACCCGGGTGCGAATGCCAGTTCTGCCCTGGGCTGTGAGTTTGGGCAAGTCATTGTTCCTCTCTGCATCTTAATCGCCTCCCCTGTGACATGCTCGTGCCAAAGTCCTTTGCATTTCGGAAAAAATGTTCCCGAGGATCCTGATTTGTGCATGGTCTTACAGTAAAAACCAAACAAAAAAAACCTTACAGGGCCCATAATGGGACATTATACACACACACACACACACACACACACACTTCAGCTATGACTTTCCTGTTCCTAATAGTATGTAGTTTTCATGAAAGGAGAAACTTAGCTTTGTTCACTGCACTATCCTCAGGTCCTAAAATGGTTCTTGGCACATAGTGGGCACTGGGTAAATATTTATTGAATGAATGAATCTGTGTCACTAAGAATGCTTTCACCTGCAGATAATCCAAAACTCAATAAACAGTAGATATACCACAAAAAAAAAAACAATTTAACAAGGATTACAGAGGTAGATAATGCCACAGTTGAATCAATGAATCAGTAATGTGGACAAGAATTGAAATTATTTCTCTTCTTCCACACCAATCTGCAGGTTCTTGGCTTTTTCTCTGAGGCTTATCACCTTATGGTCTCAAGGTGGCTACTGTGGCTTCAGGCATCAAATATTCATTGGGCCAGATTCAAAGGCAGGAAGTAAGGGGATAGTCAGGGCACAGAGAGGGACGTTTTTCTCCACATGCCTCTCTCCTTGTAGCAGGAGGAATAAATATTTCTTACAAAGTCCTACCATAGACTTCTTGCACCTCATTGGTCAAAGCTGAGTCACATGTCTAACCTAGCTTCAGGGAGGTGGAAGGTAAAAGTGCAGATGTTGGAAAAGACATGGGCGTTCATGATGTTGAAAAGGAAGTCAGGCTTCCGTGAAGTTGACAAATGATGGCCTAGCCAAATTAACACAGAGAGGAGAGAAAGCAACAAAGACCATGACACAAATGAACACTTCAAATGATAATGATTTGAGAAAGAACTGGGAGAGACCTTTGGGAAAAGAATAACGCCTAGAAACCGTTTTGCAAAAATCACCTCTTTAAACAATATGCCCTGAAAGTCAGCTATGAAGTACAAGATGCTGTGTGACCAAAAATCACAGTTTAGCAAAATCAACTTTTGACTCATTCTCAGTTTGTCCATTGAATCAGTACATAGTTGTTGCAATTTTACTCCGAATTCTGTTAAGTATAATTCAGTTTTAGTTATAACGTTTTAAGAGACATTCCTAATCAAACTTTTCCACTGCTTGGTATGAAAAGCTTGTAGTTATTTTAGAGTCCCTGTGTTACCTTTCTTGGGCAAGTATTATCCTTGATGACAAGGTCTTCCTATACCTAACATATGAGAAAAACATTTTTAAAGGTGTTCACTCAACTAATTCTAGTGGATTTTAGGACATACCTTTTCCCAAAGGTAAAACAAGCGCCATAGTTCCTGTAAGGAAAAATTCATAATCAGTGCCCACTTGGGGGGACACATTGGAACCCCACATCTCAGTGGTTCCTTCTCCCAAGCTCAGCAGAAGCTACACTGGGTCGTTCCTCATGGGGAGAAGTAAAGAACGATCTGAGAAAGAGACCAGGGGTGTTGAAGTATCAAAGCCCCTCCACATGGAAAACGTGAGGAATGGAGAATAATTACCCCCCATCCCCCATCAGAACTCATTTTTCTTGCTCGTGTTTTAGGGAGTTTGGGAGAAAAATATCGCCTATGTGTTTCACATGCTGCCTTAAAAAAATGGAAATTTTTTTGTTTTTTGTTTTTGTTTTTGATACAGTTTCTTAAATGGAGCAAATATCTGTCAGCAGACCCAGTTTCATCTAATGCATCACAGACCCCAGTTCTGAAGCCAGTTAACTAGCCCCACCAGCCAGGCACAGAATAGTTGCTGGCTCTCAGGATGTTGGACTTTCTAGCTGAGAACAACCTCTGTGGCCAGGCCATCCTAAGGATTGTTTCCTGTGGCAATGCCATCATTGCTGAACTTTTGAGGCTCTCTGAGTTTATTCCTGCTGTATTCAGGTTAAAAGACCGAGCTGATCAACAGAAATATGGAGATATCATATTTGATTTCAGCTATTTTAAGGTAATCTTCCTCTATACCATTTTTACCACTGTCTTTCCTAGGAAAGTGTGCCTTCTCTAGGGACAGTGAGACTCTGAGATGTGAAGTCATTATGGAGAAAGAGTTAAATAGGAGAGATTTTGAAATCAAATTTAATACCAGCTAACTAACTTGAAAATAATATGAAGGAATTGTGTGAAGTGCTAACACAATAGAACCTAATTTTAAAAAGGTAACTTTGGTATAATATATTTCACATTAAAGCATGCTAATTGTGCTTGCAATTCAGACTCATTTCTTTCAGAGGGATTTTATATATGAGCTTCTTATATCATTACTTTCTGTTGCTCTACTTGACCTTTTGACAATCCTTTTAAGGCATAAGAACAGCCCTGGTCAGTTTTGCTCAGCGGTTAGAGCCTCGGCCCGTGGACCTGAGTGTCCTGGGTTCAGTTCCCGCTAAGGGCACATACCTCGGTTGTGGTTCGTGCCCAGCACCAGTTGGGGTCATGTGGGTGGCAGCCAGTCGATTGGTCTCTCTCATGTCGATGTTTCTCTCTCTTCCTCCCTTTCTCCCTCCCGCTCTATCAGAAGATAAATGCAAAAAAAATATCCTTGGGTGAGGATAAAAAAATTTAAAAAGGCATAAGAACAAATTTTTTAAAGTCTACTTAGAAATTTTTACCAACAAGTATATTTTTATTGACGTCTCCATAAATCTGTTTTTCTTTTTAGGGTCCAGAATTATGGGAAAGCAAACTGGAAGCTAAGCCAGAGCTACAGGATTTAGATGAAGAATTTCGTGAAAACAACATAGAAATTGTGACCAGATTTTACTTAGCATTTCAAAGTGTACATAAATATATTGTAGACTTAAACAGGTATTGATTTATTTAGTAAGAGCTTATTCTGCTAGTAAATAGTGGAGGGGGAAAGGGACATCCTAGAACATGTCAATCTTTCTGAGTTACTACAGAATTTACTAAATTGTACCCTGCTTAATTGTCTTGTCCTTCTAGTGGCACTAGTCATCTTAAGTATTTTAGAGTTTTATGATCATTTCCTGCTCTTGTGAAGTGTTATAATCATCTTGGTCTATGATAAGTCACATGGCTTTCAGTCCTGTGGTTTATGATCATATTCTAGTATATTATGAGAAGTGGGAGAAAAGGAACATATTTTCGTAGTATATCTAACCATAGTCTTCCTTCTTATCTCTAACCACACAATAGTCTCTTCCTTTCAGCCCTTAAGAATTTGTTACTCATTAGCTTTTAAACTAACTATTCCATGTTCATATGTTGTTACTTCTTAAGATATTTGTAATTCATAAATCAGAACTAGGGAATATTCTTTGTACTTGGAGTAGCCATCAACCTGTGGCCCTCATCACGATGAGTTTCAGCTCATGAACTTTTGAAGGCCAGAATGCCTAGTATCTTGCCTTATCTTTTAAAAATCTGTACTTCCCTTCATCAAAGATGTTGTTAAAGTTTTCATTGTCAATGAATAACTTGCTCTGGGGTTTCATTTCTAGATACCTGGATGACCTCAATGAAGGAGTTTATATTCAGCAAACCATAGAAACTGTGCTTCTCAATGAAGATGGAAAACAACTTTTAGTAAGTGCTAGTGACCATTTAAAATACAAATTCAAGAATGTCAAGCTTAGCATCACTTTTTTTTCTAGCAGTTACAAATACATACATGGCTCCCTTCTTTCAAGAGAAGCAAAATAAACTAATAAGTATCTTCTTTTCTTTTTTTATTCCTCACCTGAGGATATTTTTCTACTTATTATCAGATAGAGTGTGAGGGAGGGAGAGAGAGACACACACAGAGAAACATCAGTGTGTTAGAGCCATATTGACTGGTTGCCTCCCGCACGACCTGACCAGGGCCAGGGACAAACTGCAACCAAGGTACGTGCCCTTGACCAGAATCAAACCCGCGACTCATTGGTCCGTGGGCCGTCGCTCTAACCACTGAGTCAAACCACCCAGAGCAACTGATAAGTATCTTCTAACTGGTCTGGATCTGAGTTTAGAACATAGTAGAGTTTGAACAGAATTACAAATGAATAAAGATTGAGGAGAGTTTCTGAGCTTCCTCAGTGTAACAGTCTTTTCTTTATCTTTTAAATCTACATCCCAGACATCTAGCCTAGTACCCAATACATAGTGATCACTTAAGAAATGTCTGTTAAATAAGTGAATGACTTAGAGGTGTTCATAATATTGGGATTCCATTTTGGTATCCCAAGCAAAATAGCAAAACCAGGCCAACTGAAAGGTAATCACTGTTTGTTAAAATTTATTTCACATAAATTTTCCAAAGCTCATTTTATACAGATGGTGCTAACCCTTTGGGGGAAACCTGC